TAGAATATTTTCAAGTATAGACTTACTCTCCTTAGGTTCCTTTTCGCCCCTTAATTTTTTTTTTTTAAGTATGGGTGTCACCATGAGTTTTCCATTTGCTTCTTAGAAATTTTTTAAGTATGGACATCACCATATGTCTGTCTCTTACACCTCTTAGAAAGTTTTCTAACTATAAGTATCGCCATGAGTTCCATTTAGGCACTCATAATTTTTCTAAATATAAGGCTCACCCTTCTTGGGTTCCCTTTTGCCTTTTAAAAAACTTTCTAAGTATAGATTAATCTTCTTTGGGTTTTTCTTTGCCTCTTAGAATTTTTTCTAAGTATGAGTGTTGAAATACATCCATCCTCTTTGCTCCATAAAATTTTTTCTAAGTATAAACATAGATATGGATCCATCTCTTCCACTCTATAGAAATCTTTTTAAGAATATGTGTCGTTATAGGTTCCCCCCAATCACTTAGAAGTTTTCTAAATATAAGACTATCCTTCCTGAGTTCTTTTAAGCCTCTTAAAAGATTTTTTAAATATAGGTTGACCCTTCTTAGATTTTTCTTTATCATTTGAAAATTTTTCTAAGTATGGGCGTTGACATAAGTGATTAGTACTTAAAAGTGTATTTTTATCATGGTTTTATATCATCATTTTGCACTTGAAGTATCAATAACTCCTTAACTAAAATATGTTTTATAATAATATATCTAATAATATAAGATACCTATAATTTGTGGTAAATGTCTATTTTTAATGCAGGCCTATCACATAAATGAAAGGATTGATTGATGTCTTGAAGAACTTAAATTGCAAGGATAAAGAGATGGCCAAACTTAGAAAAGAGATGTCAGTGCAATCCAAACCGAAATACTATTCGGTAATTGGGTCATATCTAGAGCTATATATCTCAGATTTAGGTCCAATTTATATGGATGGAAAGGTAAGACATAGGCCTACAACTTTAATATGGAGCCCAAGATCTAAAAAGGCCATTTGCAAGTCCAAATTGTAGTAACAACAAAGAAGCCCGAATCTGTCTTCCAGCCCGAGCACTACTTGGTATTTTGGCCATATCTGGAGTTCTAGAAGTCCAAATGAGTTGAATGTTTTACACAAGAAAGCTGAGACAATTGCCTACAACTTTCATGTTTTCAACTAGCTCCAATGTTGACGTTATCAATGACGTTTTGGGCAGACAAGAGAAGATAAAGATTGTCACCAAGTCAAAAGTTGGCCACCCACTTATCAATTAGTCATCAAATCAATAGTTCCCAATTTTGGCCTATAAAAGGAGGCATTTGCCATGCATTTAGGCATCTTGGTTTCCAGATCAAGATCATGCTCTTCCTTTCTCTCTTTGTATTTTTTGTAATGTTTATGCTTTGCTTTCATTAATATTAAGTTTATGCCTTTCATTTCCTTTCCTTTACTTAGTTAACTTTTATGTTCTTATTTTGTTTATCTATTTTGCTTTCTTTCATTATGTCTAGCTAAGTTAGTTATGTCAAGGTGAAAAGGTTACACTAATGGTGTAAGAATAAGTATAATGTAAACTTAATATGGACTTTAATGTTTGATACTAACATGTTTTATATTTGTTATCTTATTCACTCTTTAATACTTTGCTTGTTAAATGACTAATCTTGATTTATGTTGTATAACACTTGGTACAACAAATGCTTGGCACTTTCATAGCCCATAATGTATGGTATAACCGACACCTGAGCTATGAAAGGAACTTGATTTGTTGTTAACATAAGTTATAATCATGAATGCTTGACGAGATTTACAAGTATTAGCATTAATTGAATAAGATGACTAATGTAATCATGTTAACAATATATAATCTGATTGGAACCTCCTTTGTGTGTGGTTTCCAATTCAATAATAAGAGTTTATACTATACTTGTTTGATATACCATTAGTGGAACCTCTAACCTTGACATTTGTTATTATCATTGTTTAATCGTTACATTAATATTCCATCTCAAAGTTCTCATCTTCTTCTTCTTCTTCTATTTCTTTATTATTATTATTATTAGTACTACTACTACTACTACTACTACTACTACTACTACTACTACTACTACTACTACTACTACTACTACTACTACTACTACTACTACTACTACTACTACTACTACTACTACTACTACTACTACTACTACTACTACTACTACTACTACTACTACTACTACTACTACTACTACTACTACTACTA